TTGTCCTTATTGTTTGCGGAATAGTCTTGCTCGATATGTAATTCTACTGTGCTAAAAGCTTATGTCCATAATTCGCATAAATACCATTTCTGAGATTCCACCCTTCAATGTAGCATATATAAACAGAATGACCTAATACAGTATTAGAGCTCTAAGAAACGGCCTGGTAGATTAATTTGGCGAAACCGCTGAGAGGGTTCACTACTGATGAGCCAAGCCCTCTCATTCAATAACTCATATCAGTGCACTAAGGTCTGTAGAGATAATATTTGATGATATTTAAAAGAGACACATTGCCAGTAAATTTATTTGTGTAAAATTTATAGTGTGTATGTATACGCACCTTAGGGCAAAAACATCTGCAAATATTCAAAAATTATTCAAGGAAACAAACAAAAAAAGAAGGAAAAACATTCAAATATTTCTATTTTGGTCAAAATTCCTTAAGTTCCGTTTCAATAAACTCTGTGAAAAGACAAAATGTCCCCAACGGCTTTTTTTTCTTTCTTTTTCTTTTCATAGAGTAACGGTGGTTATTCAGAGTTGCCAGACCGTATCTGCTTCCCTTTTTTTTATCATCATCACCTGCCAAATTCAGCCGCAGCACTCTGTGGAATTTTACCTCCATCACAGAACTATTAAGAAATCTCCTGATTGTGAAATCTCCCGATTGTGAAATCTCCTGATTAAGAAATCTCCTGATTGTGCAACTAAAAAATTGATGATGGTTTGCGCCATCTGTCCGAATAAATATTAATTAATTGTTGATTATTTTATTTATACCAGAATTGATCAAATAAATCAAATCAAACAATGTTGTAGATCTATATCAATTTGTAAATAGCAGAGAGAATTATTAACTATTTTTGTAAATATATTTATGATTTTCTTTCAAACCTGAAAGGTGCAGGTTCCTAATATATGTTTTTTTTTTTTTTTTTTTTTACAATTAAAAGAAAATCACCACGTTTTTATCGCCTTCATTTCAAACTAATATATATTATTAAATTATAAAACTATTTTAGAGGCGTAATATTCTTTTTAAAATAAAACAATTTCTACTGTCCTTACTGCGATGGAAAAATTAATGGGAGGGCCTGGCTCATCAGTGGTGAACCCTCCCAGTGGTTTCGCCAGTTTAATCTACCATACCGCTGTTATATTGCATTTTTGGAACTTCCTTTTATAGGTGACTGTTGTAAGACTCTTGGAATGGGTATTTTAGAAGAACTATGGACATAAGCTTTTATTTTTCCATCGCAGTAAGGACAGTAGAAATTGTTTTATTTTAAAAAGAATATTACGCCTCTAAAATAGTTTTATAATTTGATAACAGATGGCGCTCTAGTACATCGTAATATATATTATTGTTTCTCTCTTTTTTTTTTAAATTACTTTTCTTGTATAAAATGTTTATAACTGTTTGTGTTTTTTTTTTTTTTTTAATATAAATCGACGCAATTATCCCTGGCCGGGATATCGCGTTTTGTGTGTTGAAAGAATTGATCAAATATCCTTTAGCTAGTAATCAAGAGAATGCATAGAAAGGGTATATTTGTATAATTCTTGAATAAAATTAAAAAATCAACGATTGTTATTTATTCCGACAGATGGCGCAAGCCATCAGCAACTTTTAGTTACACAATCAGGAGATGCCTTTTTATAATTTATCCAACTGATCCCAGTACACAATTTGACTTTTGACCTGTTTTTTTCTTCAGATTCAGAACTCACTAAACACCTATCTTACTATATTCGGACTATTACAACCCTGTTATCAGCTGTGTGTTACATTCACCTGTCTATACAGACCACCCTGTCTATAGCGGTCACTTTAGGCAACCCTGTTATCAGCAGTATGATACATACACCTGTCTATACAGACCACCCTGTCTATAGCGACCACTCTAGACAACCCTGTTATCAGCTGCCTGTCTATACAGACCACCCTGTCTATAGCGGTCACTTTAGGCAACCCTGTTATCATCAGTGTGTTACATTCACCTGTCTATACAGACCACCCTGTCTATAGCGGTCACCTTAGGCTACCCTGTTATCAGCAGTGTGATACATCCACCTGTCTATACAGACCACCCTGTCTATAGCGACCACTCTAGACAACCCTGTTATCAGCTGTGTGATACATCCACCTGTCTATACAGACCACCCTGTCTATAGCGACCACTCTAGACAACCCTGTTATCAGCTGTGTGATACATCCACCTGTCTATACAGACCACCCTGTCAATAGCGACCACCCAAGACAACGTTTTTAAAATATATTCGCACTCGGGTAAACCCCGGGCGTTGCCCGGGCCATTCGTCTAGTCTTACTATATTCGGACTATTAAGAAAAGAGCTATGAGTTAGATTTCAATTTGCATAACTACTGTAAACAGAAATGTTTATATTTTAAAAATGTAAACCATTTATTGGTCGAATGTTTATTTTCTCATTTTTTAATAAAACAATTTTATACAAACCTTAATTCAATAATAAAAATATATTTTTGTAACAATTAATTTTTAGGCAATCTGTTTATTTTTAATATTATCATCAAATATTATCTCTACAGACCTTACACTGCAATGATATAAGTTGTTGAATGAGAGGGTAAACGCTGATGAGCCAAGCCCTCTCATTCAATAACATTTATCATTGCAGTAAGGTCTGTAGAGATAATATTTGATGATATTATTGAAGAGAAATTGCTAAAAAATAATTGTTATAAATTTTAACGATAGATGGCATTGAGAATTTATAAAATATATATATATTTAGGATATAAATACAGTAGAACAACCTCCATGAGAGGACACTCCCGCTAGAGGACATCTCTCTACAAAGGACAGTTTCCATCGCCAATACAGTAGAACAACCTCCATGAGGGGACACTCACGCTAGAGGACATCTCTCTACAAAGAACAGTTTCCATCGCCAATACAGTAGAACAACCTCCATGAGAGGACACTCGCGCTAGAGGACACCTCTCTACAAAGGACAGTTTCCATCACCAATACAGTAGAACAACCTCCATGAGGGGACACTCCCGCTAGAGGACACCTCTCTACAAAGGACAGTTTCCATCGCCAATACAGTAGAACAACCTCCATGAGGGGACACTCTCGCTAGAGGACACCTCTCTACAAAGGACAGTTTCCATCGCCAATACAGTAGAACCACCTCCATGAGGGGACACTCCCGCTAGAGGACACCTCTCTACAAAGGACAGTTTCCATCACCAATACAGTAGAACAACCTCCATGAGGGGACACTCCCGCTAGAGGACACCTCTCTACAAAGGACAGTTTCCATCACCAATACAGTAGAACAACCTCCATGAGGGGACACTCCCGCTAGAGGACATCTCTCTACAAAGGATAGTTTTCATCACCAATACAGTAGAACAACCTCCATGAGGGGACACTCCCGCTAGAGGACATCTCTCTACAAAGGATAGTTTCCATCACCAATACAGTAGAACAACCTCCATGAGGGGACACTCCCGCTAGAGGACATCTCTCTACAAAGGACAGTTTCCATCACCAATACAGTAGAATAACCTCCATGAGAGGACACTCCCGCTAGAGAACACCTCTCTACAAAGGACAGTTTCCATCACCAATACAGTGAACAACCTCCATGAGGGGACACTCCCGCTAGAGAACACCTCTCTACAAAGGACAGTTTCCATCACCAATACAGTGAACAACCTCCATGAGGGGACACTCCCGCTAGAGGACACTTCTCTACAAAGGACAGTTTTCTTAGCCAAAATTACCATTTTTACTATTTAGCAACTCTCTGGTAAGAGGACACCTCTCTCTAAACGACACTTTGGCTCTGTAACTAAGTGTTGTCCTTTACAGGGAGGTACTGTATATAGATAATTTCTTTAGACAAAAATAAATGCCAACTTTCCAAATATACACAGCATTAGCTTGATCATTTAAATAGATCAAAATCATAATTAGGTTTTATTTATATTCCACATTATAGGATAAACACTCATAGACAAAACTAAAGGAAGTGGAAAGTCTTTGATATTGACGGTCGTCTATATATATAATTCTTTTTTTAAGGAGACTGAGACAATTTTGTTCACACTTGGTTATCTCGTATGTCTTCAATAAAGTCACTGTAATATCTTTCAGAGTTATTGTCTAAATCCCGATATACATGGTAAAAGGTACAACTTCCTTAAGTTTTGTCCATGAGTGTATATTGGTTATCTCGTGTGTCTTCAATAAAGGTCACTGTAATATCTTTCAGAGTTATTGTCTAAATCCCGATATACATGGTAAAAGGTACAACTTCCTTAAGTTTTTTCCATGAGTGTAATTAGACACAAAGCTTTCAAGCTCCAAACAGATCTTCATCAGGGCCTTATGAAACAACACATAGGTGATATTACTTGTTTTTATTGTACACGGGGACATGAGGAATAGCTGTTTAGATCTTGAAAGCTTGGTGTCCAATTTGATGGTAATAAAGAAACGTGCCAGTTTAAGACCGTCGTGTCATTTTGAAGTTTACATAGAGCCTGGTATATATGTAAATAAGGAAAAATAAAATTTCAACATAGAGTCTTTTGGAGAAATTTCTGGCGTTCTAAGGCACAATTTGGGCGATGGGCGTTTTCCTATATAACATTTCGGCTGTAGGATTATCTCGCTTCGACATTTTTAAAAAAATACACGTTACAAAAATAACTCAATTAGGTACCACTATATTAATTATAGTTGATACTATGTACACAAAAAAAGGGTTCTTCCAATACATAAGTCTGTGGACGAGTGGGTAACACATTCGATTCCCGACAGTCATGAACCGGGATTGAATCCCAGTTAACATTTTGTTTAATATGTAAATAACCTTCACATATTATTCACTGTTTCAATTATCATGAACTAGGTTGCTCTTGTTGAGCGGTACCTATTAATGTGATTTTGAACCGAACCGATTTATATTTATATATACTAATAAAAAAAAAGGGACTTAGCCTACAGCCCTCGGTGTTCCCAAGTGGTCACCCTCCCAAGTACTGACCGGGCCTGACATTGCTTAACTTCGGAACGAGAACCTGTGTTTTCAATGTGATATTCGTAAGAGATGTAAGTGTAAATTATTTATATTATGATGCACCAGCGCGCCATCTGTTATAAATATTAGAAACTATTTAAGACGCGTAAGATTCTTTTTGAAATTAAACAATTTCTTCTGCCCTTTCTCCCATTAATTTTCCCATTTTGCAGTAAGGGCAGTAGAAATTGTTTAATTTCAAAAAGAATCTTACGCGTCTATAATAGTTTCCAATTTTCATAAGTTATTTATCTTAAGCACAAACACTATATAGAACAGTTTCCATCGCCAATACAGTAGAACAACCTCCATGAGAGGAGACTCCCGCTAGAGGACACCTCTCTACAATGGACAGTTTCCATCGCCAATACAGTAGAACAACCTCCATGAGAGGAGACTCCCGCTAGAGGACACCTCTCTACAAAGGACAGTTTCCATCACCAATACAGTAGAACAACCTCCATGAGAGGAGACTCCCGCTAGAGGACACCTCTCTACAAAGGACAGTTTCCATCACCAATACAGTTCAAGCAAGATTAATATGGCTTCAGAGGTGTTTTTTTCTTTGTTTTTTGTTGTAGTCCAATTTGCATAGTTAGGATTTAACTTGCTATAAATAGGAGGTATGGATTAAGTTGAATATAGTCCTGTCCAAAGTAGTCTTGCTAATTTAGACGTCTATCGTATTTTTAACTTGGCAATAAAAGATAAAGTGGGGCTAAAGTGAAGCAGTCTGACATGCCTCTCGTTAAATCTTCTGATTAAAAATGCCAGACCACCCTAATATCATTGTATAGAAACCACATTTGCATATATACGGGTGTAAATAAATTCTAACATTGCTCACAAACTTGTTAGTACCCAGAATAAATACAATTTATCCTTTATTGAGCAAATATGCAACTATTCGGCACGCAAAAGGGGTTTGTTCCATTCTTCTGGGGGTCAGCTAACTCCTATTAGCATATCTCCTGTCCGTAATTAGGACTGCGCGGGATATGCAACAACACAATGGTAATCACTCTACCTTCTCATTAGTAAGACGAGAAATTCCCAAGCGGACGACTGGAATTTTCTGGCAGTCGAATCATTTCAAAGCAGGCGATTGAATCTTAAGGCGCAGACAAATATTTTTCAAGTAAACGATCCGAATTTTCAGGTAGACGATGCGAATTTTCTGGCAGTCGAATCATTTCCAAGCAGACGATTGAAATTTTAAGGCAGACGAATTTAATTTTACAAGGAGACGAATAAATTAAAATAAGAATATTCGAATAGCTAAACAAACGAATAATTTTCAAGCAGACGATATATATAATTCCAAACAGGTAATTCTAGTTTAAAGGCAGACAAGTAATTTTCAAGCAAACGATTTCAATTTCCAAACAGACGAATAAATTCGAAAATCACACCACATTCTAATAATATTAAGGAGACGAATAAATTCTAAACAAGGCGACCCGAATTTTCCAGGCAGACGAAGAATTTTCGAGCAGACGACTTCAATTTCCAAGCAGACGACTAGAATATTTAATGAGATTAAGTGTAGCAGACGAGAAGTTCAAGGCCCCATTTCCTGCCATCTCACCTTCAGGGGATCCAGGAAGAAAAGCTGTCAGCCGTGACGTTGTACAAATTGCTCCCTTTCATGGTTCGACGACTCAACCGTCCCACATCTCGTCTGCACACAGACATGCCATTATAGTTGAAAAGTCGATAAAACAAACCAAACCTATAGATAGAAGTTTTACCGAGGATATTAATCTATAAAGGTAGCCTCTCCCGTTAAAAGAGACGCTAAAAGTCAATCTATTGGCCGCAAACTTGCAGATTCATGCCGCTGACAAAGCCATAATAACAGTTTTGACGAATTGTAAAGATTTCATTTGATCCATTGTGGATCTCATGGTATAAAGTCCGCCCTGGACTGACAAGGGTCATTAGCCTAGAACCATGGTCTCCAGGTGAACGCTTCTCAGTTTGCCAAAGCTGGTGTTGTAGCTTTGTCACCGACCCGAGGCCGCTAGTTTGCGGCGACGGTCAATATATGACACCTAGTTTTGACGTCTTTTTTGACGGGAGAGAGATATATATAACCCAGGGAGCACAGAACACCAACTACCCGGAAAGTCACCAGTATAGACTATTACTAAACGCTTTTAGTCGCGTCCTGTTTTGATTGCTGAGTAGAACCAGTTGACCAGGAAGTTCCATGCTGAATCTGGCCATAGATGTAGGATTGAGGTCTAAGCAGCTGTTTGTATCTTATGTCTCAGGAATCTAGGACAGCTGAAGAGATGTCTGTGGCTCTTACAAACAGTGAGGGAGGTTGAGTCTGGAAGTCTGGCCATAGATGTAGGGCTGAGGTGGGTCAGTCCAAGCAGCTGTTTGTATCCTACGTCTCAGGAATCTAGGACAGCTGAAGAGATGTCTGTGGCTCTTACAAACAGTGAGGGAGGTTGAGTCTGGAAGTTTGGCCATAGATGTAGGATTGAGGTCTAAGCAGCTGTTTGTATCCTATGTCTCAGGAATCTAGGACAGCTGAAGAGATGTCTGTGGCTCTTACAAACAGTGAGGGAGGTTGAGTCTGGAAGTTTGGGCATAGATGTAGGATTGAGGTCTAAGCAGCTGTTTGTATCCTATGTCTCAGGAATGTTGGACAGCTGAAGAGATGTCTGTGGCTCTTACAAACAGTGAGGGAGGTTGAGTCTGGAAGTTTGGCCATAGATTTAGGATTGAGGTCCAAGCAGCTGTTTGTATCCTATGTCTCAGGAATGTTGGACAGCTGAAGAGATGTCTGTGGCTCTTACAAACAGTGAGGGAGGTTGAGTCTGGAAGTCTGGCCATAGATGTAGGATCGAGGTCTAAGCAGCTGCTTGTATCCTATGTCTCAGGAATGTTAGACAGCTGAAGAGATGTCTGTGGCTCTTACAAACAGTGAGGGAGGTTGAGTCTGGAAGTTTGGCCATAGATGTAGGATCGAGGTCTAAGCAGCTGTTTGTATCCTATGTCTCAGGAATCTAGGACAGCTGAAGAGATGTCTGTGGCTCTTACAAACAGTGAGGGAGGTTGAGTCTGGAAGTTTGGCCATAGATGTAGGATTGAGGTCTAAGCAGCTGTTTGTATCCTATGTCTCAGGAATCTAGGACAGCTGAAGAGATGTCTGTGGCTCTTACAAACACTGAGGAGGTTGAGTCTGGAAGTTTGGCCATAGATTTAGGATTGAGGTGGGTCAGTCCAAGCAGCTGCTTGTATCCTATGTCTCAGGAATGTTAGACAGCTGAAGAGATGTCACTTACAAACAGTTAGGGAAGGTTGAGTCAGATCTGCTGGACCGTGAGGACAACCTCTCCAGTAGAAATTTGGAGACAACTCTGCCGAGTAGTTCTGGCAAAGCCAAGAAATAGATAAAACTGATCAACCATGCCTAACCTTCTTACGAAATTAAAATTGGCAAAGAAAAATGATTTTTGATAGAAAATAGTCCCCCAGGGTCCAAAATGGAAATTTTTGTAATAATTTAACAAACGATCATTTTATACATTAAAATATAAAATTAGTCGTTATTTGACCAATTCCTGAAACTGTGATGACCTGATAAACCAGCTAGGTCGAATACTGTCGGGGTCTATAAGGAAAAAACAATTTCTATTTATTATTATTGAAAAAGTAAAAATTGAATCAGGTAAAAAGTTTCTTTTTATTTATATTTGCAAGCTTTCGAGCAAATTAACTGCTCTTCAACGGGCTGATATTCTTTGTACAAACTCAAAAATATTTATATATAGTAAAACTAGCGGACGTACCCGGCTTCGCCCGAGGTTTTACCCGAGTAAAGGTTTGTCTAACGAACATTTGCCCGTGTTTTACCCGAGTAAAGGTTTGTCTAACGAATCTCTCGATAAAGTGAACATTTTTTCCCGGTCCCTTGAAAAATACTCGATAAGTTGAATAAATTCAATATTAATCGGTACCCGAGTAAAGGTCTGTCTAACGAACATTTGTTAAAACAATTCTCTATAGACTTATAAAAAGAAATAGATATATTTTGATAATTTGAAACTGATAAAGTGATCATTTTTTCCCGGTCCCTGTGTGCCGTGTCATTCTGAATTTTGTCTTTCCTAATTTTCTACATTACAAAATCATCGTTTTATCTAGTGAACATTTTTTCCCGGTCTCTTGAAAAATACTCGATAAGGTTGAATAAATTCATGGTCGTTTATGGAAGATGGACGAAGTTCCCGGAGGTCATCTTGGGCAAGCTCCCGCGAGGCTTTTTTTCTTGTCTACTTGGCATAGCTGTGTCACCAACTCTGCCCTGATTGGTCGGTGGGTACTTTGACTGTCGGCCGGCGGCCGGGCGAATCCATTCTCGCACGGGGTCTGCCCCACTCCAAACTTTTGGCAAAGCACTTTCTAATATTAAAGATTATTGTCTTAAATAATCTTTAAGAACAAAAAGTATAATAATTGAACGATAGGAAATTATAGTAAATAATTATACTAAACTAAATGATGTAAAAATAATTATACATGAAATTTGAAATAAGTTTTAGAAAAGTTATCGTTAAGTCCACGGGAAAAGATGTAGCCAAAACAAATAGGTTTATAACAGTGACACGTGAGCACCCGCCTCGAGACGCGCTCCTCTCTCCTAACATTACTCCCCCTCTTGAAAAAGCCTATCTCCGTCTCAATGGTGGCGCTGCTTGCGAGTTAAAGCTACAAATCTGCAAATAACTCTAAGGATATTAAAGATATTCAAGATATTATTTTTCGTAAACCTTTCCGGGGATATGCCTAATAATATCCCAAATTTTCACGGCGATTGGATGTATGGTTTTCGAATCCATAGAGGACACACACACAGACAGACAGACAGACAGACAGACACACAGACATTCAATTTTATATATATAGATTGAAAAATTTGTTATTAGCATGTGCTCTCGCGGGCGTGCATCGGATTGTTTCCAGCTAAAGTAATAGATATTATATATATATATATATATATATATATAT